TTAGTACTCTAGTTCGGCATGTGAAGTCATACAATATAAGTGCTTTACATCAACTGTACCATTATATTTATCTGTCACTCAAAAGCCGTTAGTTATTAATACCTTATAAATGTTGAAGCTTGATTATACGTGTTTTTCAGTTTTCGGATCGGTGTATATAGAAGGTTCGAACAATTCTGTGCAAAATAAAGCTTGTTACATAAAGCACGTTTGGAAACTACTCGTCATATTCAGTAGTTGATACATTTAACTCAAATAACAACAGCATTTGAACATTAATTTCGGTGCTTAACTATCTTCTCACTATATGCTGCCACTTGAGTTGCACTTGACAAGAAATAAGAGTTAAAGGACAAAACAGTCAAGAAAAAACTTTTTCTACCTAACAACAGCTTACTCGACACTCACACAAACAACACTGCTGGAATTTGAGATGAGGGTGATAATATCATATGGCCAAAACAAGAATTCATAATCAAGGATACGTTGAGGGGCGTCAACAAATTTTGTAAACCTATTTATTTTTTGTTTGTTGGGAGACATTTTTGCTCAATCAGAGGTGAAAAATTCGCAAATGTGCTCGCAATTCTCAATTTACTTTATCAGAAGTGAACTTTTATGCAATGAAAGTATCATATTCGAGAACAGGATCTAAAACTGAGTCGACTACTGTGTATTTCGATATTCTTTTAGTTGATTTTGAGTTTGGGGTAAAAATTTCGCTAATTTTTCAATGCGCATATTCGAAAAAAGTTGAAGTGATGGAATAGGATAGAAATACACATAAGTCGACTCAGTTTTTGATTCTGATCCCGAATATGATATTTTATTGCATTAAAGCACATCCTCCGAGTGATCCAGAATTTTCTCGTTCATATGAGATGTGAGCGGGTCGTAAGGGTCAAGCTGCTTCTGAGATATTAAAGAAACATTGATTTCATCCACACTTCATTCTCTTACTTAGATTCTTTACGTACGTTCTGGTTGAAGCGTCGTAAAGAATGAATACTGAACTCTCCTTCAAACATGAAATCTGAATCGCACCGTTTACATCGACTTTGTCAAAATGTAGTCTAGCGTTTAGCGAAAGGGACTTTCACGGGGCTCCCTTTCAAATCTGCCTAACCAAAATCTGATCAACTAACATTGCTAGCTCATATCTACGCGTACTGTTGTAGTTTATTGTTCATTTGCAAGATTTGCATTACTGTTCTGCAACCAGTACACAAACCATAAAATGACAAAGCAATTAACAAATGGAATAGAGCATATAGAACCACTTGCGATAGTTGGTATTGGATTAAGACTTCCAATGGAAAGCAATAACGTTGAAGAATTTTGGAATAATTTAGTAAACGGAACGGATGGAATTATAACAGTACCTAAAGACAGATGGAATTCTGATTATTTTACTGATAAGGATTTAAATAAAGCTGGGAAGATAAGAAATAGTTCAGGTGGCTTTATTAAGAATATAGATGCTTTTGACAATGAATTTTTCAATCTTTCTCCTAATCTGTGCCATCAAATGGATCCTCAACAGCGATTATTATTAGAAGTTACGTTTGAAGCCTTCGAAGACGCAGGCTTAAGATTAAAAGATGTTTCGGGTAGCGAAACAAGTGTTTATGTTGGTAGTTTTCATTATGATTATTATGTAATGTGCTTACGAGACTCTGCTCGCGATCAAGTTGGATCTCTAGCAGCAGTGGGAGCTACTTTAGCCGCATTATCAAATCGAATTTCTTACCATTTTAATTTAAAAGGACCTACAGCTACTATTGATACAGCATGTTCAGCTTCATTAGTTGGATTTCATCATGCTTGTCAAAGTATTTGGAATGGTGAAGCAGAAATGGCGATTTCTGGTGGTGTTAATGCTATTTTACGTCCTGAGACCTCAATAATGCTTTCCAAAGGAGGATTCTTAGGTCCATCAGGTTTATGTAAAGCATTTGACTCATCTGCTGATGGCTATGTCAGAGGTGAAGGAGCTGCAGTTGTAATCATTAAATCATTAAAAAGAGCGTTAGAAAATAAAGATAAAATTTATGCGCTAGTGGAAGGAACAGCAATTAATCACGATGGATTTAACGTTGAAGGATATACTGTTCCGAGTGCAAAAGGTCAAGCAAAGTTATTATCCTCGCTTTATAGTAAAACAGGCATAAGTCCGAGTGAAGTCGATTATATTGAATGTCATGGAACTGGCACAAAAGTTGGGGATCCAGTTGAAGTAGCAGCTTTAAGTCAAGTTATTGGAAAGAATAGAATTAATGATTGTTATATGGGATCAGTTAAAACAAATATTGGTCATTTGGAAGGTGGTGCAGGAGTTGCTGGTTTAATTAAAACTGCTCTGATTTTAAAGAATAAAAAAATTCCACCGAATTTGCATTATAGTAATCCAAGAACAGATATTCAATTGCAAGAAAATCATTTTGTAGTACCAACACAGGTTATTCAATTAGATAAAAAAGATAATAAACCTATTCTAGCTGGAGTTAATTCATTTGGAGCTGGAGGTGCAAATGCTCATGTCATTTTGTCTGAATTTATTCCTGATAAACATACTAAGAAAGATGAAGAAACAAAGGTTAATTTAAATCGAATTTGTTTATTATTTTTACTGAGTACAAAATCTGAATCAGCTTTAAGATCAACAGCAATGAAATATGTTCAATATTTAAAACAAACTTCAAATAATATAACTGATATTTGTTATACATTAATGAAAAGGAGAAGTATTCTATCCAATCAATTACTAATTACAGCTTACTCAAAAGATGAAATAATTGATCTATTACACAAATATGTTCAAGGAAAACAACATCCACAAATATATACGAGACAAATCCTTTCTTCTAATAATAATAATAATTCACAAGGTAAATTAGCGTTTGTTTATTCCGGTCAAGGCGGCCAATGGATTGAAATGGGTAAACAATTAATGGCTGAAATTCCATTATTTAAAGCGAAAATGATTGAAATTGATAATAAATTCAAATTAATAGCTGGCTGGTCATTTATGGATGAATTAAATAATTCTAATGAATTAACTTCAAGGATAAATGAAACTGATGTTGTTCAGCCAGTTACAATGGCTCTTCAAATTGCATTAACACATGTATGGAAAGAATACTTTGGCATAGAACCTGATGGAGTTATTGGTCATTCAGTTGGAGAAGTTGCTGCAGCTTATATCTCAGGTTCAATTGATATTGATACAGCTGTTTCTATTATATATCACCGCTCATCAATTCAACATAAAGTATCTGGTAAAGGTAAAATGTTAGCTGTTGGTATTAACGAAATTGAAGCAAATAAACTAATAGAAAGATTTGATAATGAAATATCTATTGCTACCATGAATGGGCCAAGAATGCTAACAATTGCAGGTGATTCAGATATTTTAGATATTATTGCTAAAGAATTAGAATTAAAACATTTATTTAACGCATTTGTTAAGGTTGAAGTACCTTATCATACTAGTATTATGGAAGAAATTGAAGAAGAGATGATTAAAGCGTTGGAAAATATCAAAACAAATAAATCAAATATTGAGTTTTATTCATCAGTGACTGCTGCTAAATCAAACGGACTTGATTTAAATGGAAAGTATTGGTATGAAAATGTTAGAAAGCCTGTTCTCTTTGTTCAGACTATCCAGGAGATGATAAACAACGGGTATAAACAATTTATAGAAATCGGACCTCATCCATTGCTGGTTTCAGGTATTAAGCAATTATTCGGTGATTTAAATATAAATGACAGTTTAGCTATTAGTTCAATCAAACGCAAATATGAAACATGTCAATTATTTCAAAATTTGGGAATTTATTTTATTCATAATACGATAAATAATTTAAATACTACTGATTTAGCGCTTCACTTTCAAAATTTATTACCGAATGCAAAGTTTGTGTTTGATTTACCGCATTATACATGGCAACACAAAAAGTTCTTGTTGGAAACGAATGATGAAAAACAAGAACGATTAGGATTTAAATATAATGGAGGTCACCCGTTTTTACGTCATGATTATAAGTTTTATTCAATCGAAAGACATCAAATTTGGGAAGCAAATGTTAATATTAGTAATGCAACTTATTTAACTGATCATGTTGTTAGTAATGCTGTTGTATTTCCAGCCGTTGGATATATTGAATTAGCCTATGCTGTTGGAAAACAACAACAGCAAGAGCAAGTTGTCAATAATGTGAATGGATCGGGTTATTTTATAGAAGGAATAATATTTGAAACTGCATTGATTTTACCGACAGAAACGTTAGAATCAATTGTTACACGATTAGAAATGATATCATCTGAAGGAGATTTTATTATATATACAAAATCTCAACAACAAGAGAATTCTATTTGGAATAGACATAGTAGTGGTAAAATAAATTTAATGGATCAGTTTAAAGTTACAAAACGACCAGAATTTCATGATATTGTAAGCGAATTTGATGATCTCGATTTAATAGATGTTGAAGAATTTTATTCATTTATGAATGGTTGTGGTGTATCTTATGGTAAATATTTTCAGTGTATTAAACAATTATGGTACCATGATTCAAACGTTTTATCAAAAGTTACACTATCGGAAGATATTGTTTATGAAGCTAAACAGTATTATTTACATCCTGCTTTATTTGATGCAGCACTTCATGGTTTATTCGTTGAAAATATGAAAAATGGGATTAATGACTTGTATTTGCCTCATTCATTAGATAGAGTAATTATTCATAAAGGTGGATTTGCTACGGTTTATGCTTATGTCAAAGTCACTTATTCTAGTGGAGAATCCATGACAGCAGATGCATGGATTTATAGTGAAGATGATGAACTGATTGCTGAACTCTACGGATTAACAACTAAAAACTTATCGAAAGCTCCCTCAGACAATGGTTTACATGATGTTTATGAATATAAATGGATTCAAAAATCAGTTCCGATTGAAAAAGATGCTGAAACTATCACAACAGAAACAGTGAGACTGTTACCTAATTTAATAATTGTTGTTGATGATATGAAGAATGTTATTGCTCAACAAATATCAAAAATTTTGTCAGCAGGTGCCAATCATAAATCTTCTGATATTAAAATTGTTAATGAATTAAACCAATTGGAAGATATTACTAGAACCAATCAACCCCCTGTAATTGTCGTGTATATTCCTTCATTATGTACACAAGATCATCAATCATTGGAATTGCAACAAAAAGCTTTGAAGTATTTAAATTTGGTAAAATTAGTAGGAAAAAACAAAGATATTAAGCTTCGTTTAATAACTCATAATTCCAGTAATTCACTAAGAAATGTAGAAGAAAGTGAGACAAAAGGAAAACCAAACGAAACAAAATTAGATCATGTATTATTATGTGGAATGTGTCGGGTCATTCAAAATGAATATCCAAACTTGAGTGTTAAATTTATCGATATTGATGTAAATGATTCAAACTCAATTGATGTTACTTTTAATGATTTATTTGATATTAAATCTGATTTACAAGATAATGAAATAATGTATCGAGATGGTATTCGTTATATTAGATGCCTTGTTCGTTTAGAAAATGAAAAAATCGATAAATTATTAACCAAACAATTAAATGCAGTAGGAAGTTATTATAATCTTGAGCTAAAGGAAAAAGGAATATTAGATTCGTTAGGATTTCGACAAGTAATACCAAAAACTTTACGATCAAATGAAATTGAAATTGAAGTTTATGCTGCGGGAATTAATTTTAAAGATATTATGAATGTTATGGGACTATTATCAGAGAAAGCTGTTAAAGGATCTATGGCAGGAAATGCTATCGGTTTGGAAGTTAGTGGAATTGTAACAGCAAAAGGTTCAAATGTAAACAATTTTGAAATCGGTGATCAAGTTATTGCTGGCGTAGCTAATGGATTTAGTGGTCGAGTTACTACTCCGCACACAAGTTGTATGAAGAAACCAAAATTTTTAAGTCATGTTCAAGGTGCAACAATACCAATTGTATACATGACCGCTTATTACGGTTTAAAATATTTAGCTCGAATTACAAATGAAGATACCGTTCTTATTCATTCAGCTGCTGGTGGAGTAGGAATTGCTTGTATTAATGTTGCAAAATATTTTGGAGCGAAAATCATCGCCACCGTTGGTTCAAAATCGAGACGTGAATTTCTTGAAAAGGAACTTGATATTGATCCAAAATATATTTTTGATTCACATTCAATCCGCTTTTATGATGATATTATGAATATTACCAATGGTCAAGGTGTTGATATTATTATGAATTCTCTTTCAGGAATTTTTATGGATCAAAGTATAAAATGTTTAAGCTCATTTGGAAGATTTATTGAAATTGGCAAAGTTGATATTTATAAGAATAAACCATTATGCTTAGAACGATTTGGTAATAATATTTCCTATTTTGTTGAAGATATTGATCGTTTAAGTAATCAAAAACCGAAATTACATAAACAATTGATGAATGAATTAGAAATTCTTTTTGAACAAGGTCATCTAAAACCAATTCAATTCTCAGAATATCCGATTAGTCAAATATCTTCAGCATTTAAATGTATGACGAAAAATGAGCATATTGGTAAATTAGTTGTTAACATGGAAAACCAAATTTTAACAGTCTTACCACATAGGGAACTAACATTATCAAATGGTGGAGTATTTATTATTACTGGAGGTACAAGTGGTCTTGGATTAATGATGGCTAAATGGGTTGCAGCAAAAGGAGTAGATAAATTAGTATTAGTTAGTAGAAATGGAATTAAATTAGCAAGGGATCAACAAGTTATTGATGAATTGAAGTCCAAAGGAGTCATAGTCGATATAAAGAAAATTGATATTAAATCGATCGAAGAATTGGAAAGGTTATTTTTGGATGTGAATAAAAGTTTGGGAGTTATACGAGGAATTATTCATAGTGCAGCGACGCTCCATGATGCTTCAATCAAAGAAATGGATGACGAACATTTTCTTGATGTTATTCAATCAAAAGCAATTGGAGCGCTAAACCTACATAATGCATCATTAAAATATTCCGGTACAATTCAATATTTTATTATGTTTTCCTCAATTTCAGCAGCAATTGGAGGCTCCGGCCAAATTAACTATGCAGCTGCTAATTATTTCCTAGATGTACTTGCTGAATATCGACATCAAATTAATTTACCAGCTACATCCGTTAATTTGGGTTTGTTAGGTGAATATTCGGGAATGTTGAACAGTCGAAACGATAAACAAAGAGTTGGAAATATTTTAATAAATCAAGGAATTCTGAAAATGCCACTGCATACAATACAAAATCAATTAGAATTGGCGATTCTTCATAAATGTCCATCACGAATTATTGCAACTTTAGATTGGAATAGCTTGAAACAGTCATTTCCTGCCATTACTACAGATACAAGATTCTCTGATATTGTGAACAATATAGCAAATCGTAAAACTAACTCATATAAAGGATTAAGAGATAAAATTATTGAATCAAAAGATGCTTCAGAAGCTGTTGAAACTTTAAAACAAGAAATTTGTTTAATATTCTCAAAGATTTTGAGTTTATCAGGAAGTAACGTAGCTGTGAATCAACCAATGGATAAAATGGGATTCGACTCTTTATCTTACACACAAGTAAGAACATGGTTACTTAAAAATGTTGGTATTAATTACCCAGTTATTAAACTAATGAAAAGCTCTTCAATTCAAAGCCTTGCAGAAGAATTAGTTAAAATTATCAAATTCTCCGTAGACTCACCAGAATCTCAGATCAGTATTAAGAATCAAACTTTGGAAACGAGACATTCTCAATACGAAACTAAATCTCAAAGTGCTAACAGTGCTCAAACACATCCAATTCCAGCGCCAATAAGTCAAGTGACAAAACCTTCAATGTCAATTTTGAGCCAAAAAACAGCAAATAATCTGACTACAAGTGCTCATAAACTTTCAAAATTAGACGATGTGGTTCATCATGATATCAATACTTTCAACAACGAAATTAAATCAACAAATCCAAGCCAAATCCAAGAAGCATCGTTTCGAATCCCTCGATCTTCGCTATCACTGAACAATGCTCACATTCTTGGCATTGGAACGTCAAATCCTGCTATAATAAATTACACAAAAGAAGTCTTTGAAAATATCAAACCAGAATATGAAAGATTAGGAATTTCCCAATCTGATTTAACCAAACTAACAAGTTTCTATGGAAATTGTGGAATCGAAAAGAAATATTGCCATGCAGATTTCTCCAAGAAAAGTTTTACTGAGAATATAGAAGAAGAATATTTTAATGAAAAGTATAAACGAATCGCACCTGAATTGTCTTTTACAGCAGCTGCTAAAGCTATTAAAGAATGGGGAGGAAATGTTAAAACAATAACTCATGTTATATCCTGTAGTTGTACCGGTATTCTCATACCTGATCTTAACTTTTTATTAATTAAACAATTAGGATTAAATAATACAGTCGAAAGAATATCGGTAAATATGATGGGTTGCTTTGGTGGTCTTACAACACTCAAAACAGCCAAAGCTTTAGCTCTTCAAAATCCCAAGTATAGAGTTTTAATGGTTTGCACAGAGATTAGTTCGATACATTATCGACCACTGCTGAATATTGATTTAATGTTAGCCTGCGCTTTATTTGGTGATGGATCAGCTGCAATGATTATCGGATGTAATCCAACTGAAAATGAAAAGCGACTTTATGAAATACTTCAGACAGGAGCAGAACATATACCTGATTCAACAGAACTAATGAGCTGGGATTTAAATAATAGTGGTTGGATTATTGGTTTAAGTCCTTCAATACCGCTGATTATTGGTGATACAACCTTTGATATAGTTCAGAATTTCTTAAAGAATTCTGTTCCACTTTCAGTTTCATTAGATGATTGTGAGTGGCTAATTCATCCAGGAGGGAAGAATATTTTATTAAATTTACAAGATGCTTTAAACATTCCCCATCATAAGAATATTTCATCGTGGAACGTATTACAAGATTATGGAAACATGTCAAGTGCAACAATTTTATTTGTTATGGACGATGCAAGGAAACAGCCTCCAAAAGACGAATTTAGTATATCATTAGCATTTGGACCAGGTTTATCTGTTGAAATTGCGTTACTCAGAAAATTGTGATACAGCTAAAATAACGAATTAAAGGCTACTAAAGGGTTTAAAGTACATAATTCTGTTTTGTGCTTTGAATCAAATGCCGTACGAAATTAACGTACTAACTATCTGTTCTGAATTTCACGTTTTAACCGATATAATCAATTATTGTACAAAACTGATTCTTCACTTTTTTGACTTTCTGACCAGTTAAGTTTCCATCTATCGTTTTAAATAAAGTGTGACGTTCATCCCAATGTTTCTAGATTTATATTATCAATAAGACAGAACTCATGATCACATTTCGAGACCACTAATAATGCTATAAAATATTCTTTTTATCCGTTTCATCGCTTTCATACTTTGATGAAAAGAATTAACTATTGAACCTATTGATTTCTAGGCGATGGCCAAGAAATGATCACATTTTCAAAAAGGGTTGCTGTGAAGATAACAGACATCGACTAAACCGCCCAAGCACGAAAAAAAATCATGAAGCGGGCGCTGCATCTAGATTAAAAGGTACATTTATCTAGCTTCAGCTAGCTGTACAGAAATACATGAAAATTTTATCTAGCTTCAGCTAGATTGAAGCTAGT